TTGTCGAAAGACCACATTAAAGCATCAAAGTTACTGATGAAGTTAAAGAGAAAAACATTTTAAAAAAAAAGAGGAAAACAGTCCTTAAAAAAAAATTATCACAACGAACAGATTTCCTATTATCATCGACTCTTCCATTCTTATCATCGACGATGGTAGAAAAATCGAGCAAGAAAAGGTCGAGAATGGGAGTCTGGCGGATTCTATTAAGTAATCTCTGTCGATTACTTGGACAATGAATAGCACGATTTGATCATCGAGCATTACGGTCCAACTTTTGTATCAAGTACACGCGAAATCCGGCGAGTCATTGTACACACACAGCGAGAAACGTCTTCCTCCTCCTCTTTTTCCTTCTCTCTCTCTCCCCAACCGAGTGATTCGAGACTTTTTCAGCTACGCTCGCACACGAATCGACGACGATCGTTTGCCTTCGGTGTTTCACGAGAGTTCGGTGTGCCACGATGGAAAATTTTTTTTCATGTGAAAACAGAAATTCTCATCGATTTCCAACGAGATTGAGAAAGAAAAAAAGAGGATCTGTACGGATTTATTAAATTTAATGGACGAAAGACTTGAAAGTTTCATTACGATCTGAAATGATCAATGTTAGATGTAATTAATATGAGAACAATTAACATTAAGTGAGTAATAACTTTTGGAGCTGTCAGAGACTAGAGGACGTTTTTAATAAAAATACGCTACGATTAGATAACATCGCCAATGTTGAATAATATTGGAATAATCGACATTTAAATTAATAATTGTAACGGAACGGATCAACATTAGATACGAATTAATATCAGAGTAATTAATGTCAGATGATTGATATTGGAGCATTAGTAATTAGTTAGTAGACATGCCAATGTCGCGGGGTGCTTCAGGCAAAACTAGTTCCATTACGGTTATATAACAGTGGAGTAATTAATAACTACAATTGACAAGTTTGAAATATATATATATATATATATATATATATATATATATATATATATATTTGTTGCAAGAAATAGAAGAAATAATCCTTCATTTATGTGAATTTCCAAAAATCAATTCTAAATTCGTAAAATTCTCTAATCTCAGGTATAATCGTTTCGATCCGCCAGCTTCTCAAATTCGCTATAAACTGTCAGTAATCAATTTTTCCCGATTCGAGCGACAAGAAAGAACGCCACGTCGGCGTTCCATCCGATTACAGTGAATCGTATCGCCGAGTCGCGTTCACGAACGAGATGAAGCGTAATAATTCCGACAGGGATTTGGCCCCGGTAACGTTCTCGAGCCTCGCCGAGGATTCCAAGGGGAGAGCCACCATACTCCAAGCAGTCTTCAGCCATTGTGGAGCAACGCCACGCAACTAACGGGCTCTCGTCCTACAGAGTTTCACTTTTAAGCGGACAGGTATGCTATTGTCGAGGTTAAAAACCTTGCGGCCAGGTGACAGTGAAAATCTTTTTCTCAGGCTTCTCCTCTCTTCTCTTCTCCGCTCCTTTCCTACGGGGTGTGGCCGCAACCTAACAACGATATACACATCACCCACTAAGGCCGATAAGTTACTGGAATTCGTTTAGAGATTCCTTTTTTCCGAGGGTTCGGCCTCCACGTGAAATGGGATCCCGTAACGATGGGCGTCCCCCCGTCGTTCTCGAATCCATAAAAGCTTCGCTTCAACTTCCTTTTCGAGAGTCTCTTGTTTTATACTTGGAGAGGATCTTATCTTTTGTCTTTGCCTGTCGGGTCATCTATCTTCTAGAAGAGAAGAAGATAGTTCTGTTCCTTTTTCTTTCTTTCCTTTTTGGTTTCTTTTTTTTTCTTTTTACACTTTGTATCTTACACTTTTGAATTTTGGTAGGATGATTTTATTTTATGATTGTAGTTTATTCTATATATTTTGTTTTTAAATGCTGATTGTGGCGTGCATGGTAAAAGAATTCGATGGTAACGAAGTTATTCTGAAGAGAAGGACAAACCAACGAGTATCTAATATACGGCTTTCTATACGCTCGTTTCTCCAAAAAACGTGTCGTGAAAGGAAGGTTCACGATCTATGACGTGCCTCTCCTCGCGCCAGACCCGCGAAACATCTTCGCAAAGACAAACAAGACAGCGTGACTAGCACGGGGTCAACGAATCCTCGAGCGGTTTTACTCTCTTCAAACAAGAGCTCGAAGCCAAAATCAATCCCCGTCTAAACCAACCAGACTGCTCACGGCCGGGAGTAAACACGGAGGATCAAATGAAGAAAGAAAAGAGAATGAAAACGAGGCAGGAGAACGGGGACACGTACGTGTATAAAAATATAAAGCTACAAGAGTACAGAAATGTGAAGATACAAAAATACGATGAAATATGAAAACTATTTGATTTCTTCTTAATTAACTTCTTAATTAGGAGAAAATTTATGTTTGACACAATTTGTTTGAAAAAATACTTCAAGTTTTGAACAGGATGTGATGGAAATTGTCATTGCGTACAGAAACATAATTTTTCGATCAAATTTTGTGTCAACACTGACGGTCATGTCTATTTCTATAAACACTTTGGAGTAGCTGAAACGAGAATACCAATAGTGAATTTTATTTAATATGAACGGCTAGATAAAATTACAAAACGAAAAATACGCTTTCATTGTAACAATATTGTAACCCAACATCTTACAGAAATTGAATATCTTTTCGCAAAAGTTGAACGTCTTCTCACAATACGACGAATCATTTTTCATTTGCCAAATTGAGTGCAAGATTCGAATGCAAGCATTCGAGGAATAAGAAAAACTAATTGTAAGAAGAAAAAAAAAAAAAAGAAGGAAACAAAGAAATAGATCAATCTCTCTCTTTGTGTAAAAAAAATTTTTCCCAAGAATAGTCGACAGTCGATTTCTGTAGGTCCACTTTGAGTCTCGTTCATCACCGGCACGCTGCGGCGTCTCAGGGTCGTTCCAGAAGTTCCACGGCTGGAACAACGGCAACCGGCAATAATCTCGTCGGTCCGCCATTCTCGTTATTTCACGCAACGGGTGGTACCGACGAAACGACGGTGGAAGGGGTGGGAGAGGGGCCAAGAGCGAAAGAGAAAGGGAGGAAGGTCAAACGATGACCCACGCGAGAAGAAACCCACGAAATCATGCCATTGCATTCCGTGAATCGTCGAAATCAAATGAGAAACACGAGAGCCATCCACGAGAGGGCTTTGGTCACGAACGATCCCCTTTGTGTTGCTACCAAAAAAAAAAAAAATCCTCGAAATCTGACAAATATCCTGGAACTCGTTCGAAATTACAATAATCGTGCCTCGACGAACGTTTGTTTTCGGCGAGACGCGAGAAATTGATTTCTCGTGCGAACGGGACTGACATTCCGGGCGACGTAGCGAAGAAATTAATTTAATTTCTTCGAATTTAACCACTTGCGCTGGCAACCGATTGCGGACCATAACGAGTGACCAAAACCGTATACAATAATTCGTCGCTTTCTTTTTCTATTGAACTCATCGGTATATCACTGGATAGAAATTATTGAGAAGTGATAAATTTATTATTTGCTTTGCCTGGATTATACTTGAATATACTTGGAACTGAGAAAATATTGCAATTTTGGGGACAAAAAATTCTCGACGTGTGCATGGCACGTCATTTGAGCGCAAGAGGTTGAGGCTTCTTTAACCACTTGCGGTGACTGCGGACCATAACGAGTGACCAAAACCGTGTACAATAATTCGTCGCTTTCTTTTTGAATTCGTCGGTGCGATATCACTGGATAGAAATTATGGATAAGTGATAAATTTATTATTTGCCTGGATTATATTTAAATACTTAGAATTGAGAAAATATTGCAATTTTGGGGACAAAAAATTCTCGACGTCCGTGGCACGTCATTCCAGCGCATGAAAACTTCTTAACCAGCTGCGCTCGCAACTGATTGCGGACCATAACGAGTGACCAAAACCGTATACAATAATTCGTCGCTTTCATTTTGAATTCATCGATATATCAGCTAATAGAAATTACTAAGAAATAATTACTAAAAAGTGATTTATTATTTGGTTTATCTGGGTTACATTTAAATATACTTAAAACAGAAAATATTGCAATTCTAGCGCAAAAGGTTAACCATAATTCGTCGCTTTCTTTTTCTATTGAACTCGTCGGTATATCACTGGATAGAAATTATTGAGTAATAAATTTATTATTTGTTTTGCCTGGGTTATATTTAAATACACTTGAAACTGAGAGAATATTGCAATTTTGGGATAAAATGTTTCAACGCAAGAGATTAAAAGCTATTGCGAACAATTTTTCTCGCTTGATTTTATTTCCAATGTCGTTGAGCGTGCAAAACCCCAAATGTTTAAACGAAACTATCGCGAATAGCTTCTCCAAGGAGAAAACTTCGTCCAGCTCGAGAGTATTGAATGAAAATTCGGAGTTAAAATTTAGAATAAAATTTTCAACTATCGGCCGGTGAACAATCTCTTTTAATTAGTTCGAGAATATTTAATAGATAAAATTCGGAGTTACTCGCGAATAATTAAAGTTTAAAATTAAATTTTCAACTATTCCGTCGGTTGGCAAACAATCTCTTTCAACTAACTCGAAAATATTTAACAGATAAAATTCAAAGTTACTAGCGAATGATTAAATTTTTGTCGACTGGCAAATAATCACTTTCAACTGGCTCGAGAATATTTAATAAATAAAATTCGGAGTTACTCGCGAATGGTTAAACTTTAAAATTAAATTTTCAACTATTCCGTCGGTTGGCAAACAATCTCTTTCAACTAACTCGAAAATATTTAACAGATAAAATTCAAAGTTACCAGCGAATGATCAAATTTTTAACTATTTCCTCGACTGGCAAATAATCACTTTCAACTGGTTCGAGAATATTTAATAAATAAAATCCGGAGTTACTCGCGAATGGTTAAATTTTCAACTGTTCCGTCGGTTGGCAAACGTTTGAAGTCAGTGAGAAATGAGAGAAAGTAACTGAAGATGAACTAACCGGGGATAGAGCCTCCTGCATGTGCAGGGGTGCGTTGTCGGCCTCGTCGGTGCAAGTTGACATTCTCCCGCGCAGTCTTCCACTTCTCTTTCCAGTTCGTCTAATCGTGGCGTTCTTCTTACCCTCCAAAGCTTCCCACCTTCGCTTCTGCTTCGATCTTCTCCGCGGCGGTCGACTGACAATCGTCTGCTAGCTGTACGCGAACGTACGGGTTCCTGGCATCAAGAGTTGAGGGATTGCGTATCACAGTCTTCTGCTGAGCGTTGTATGGCACTTGATTGAACAATAGAAGAGGAGCAGCCAGCGAGGACCTGCGAAACGAACCGGGAAACAAACGAGAAATTCAACGATCCTCCGCTTCCTATAACTATATATTTTTATCATTTACGACGAATTCTCGTCGTAATGCGTTGCGATCGTGTCGTTGAGAATGTTTCGAACGGTCGAATTCCGGTTCGCCAAGGCGAGGAAAGTAAAAATGTAATTGACACGTTGTTTGCCACGCGAGCTTCCGAGTTCTACATGAGTCACACGAAGGCCACAGTTTATCAATATCCGAGTGCAGAGAAAATCAGTGATGTCACAGCGTTTATTTATTGAAATTTACCTCGGATTCGATGACTATTTACGACGTTCAATTTTACGATCAATTATCCAGCGCGGTAAATTGACTCGCTCTCTCGGCAGAGTTTATATTTATAGCAACGAGCTCCTTAAATTTTTCATTGAAATTGTTGCAAAATGCGCTCGATGATTTTCACGCTTATTTACACGCTCAAAGTTTCTTGCCGGCTCGAAATTAACCCTTTGCCTCACGATCTTTCGAAACTGCAACATTTTACTTTAGATGAAACGTCATTCGCAATCTGTGCTTTCCGACATTCAACGAGTTTAAATAAAATTGCGAATTGAAATGTGCTCTTTCTTTCGAAACGGCAACTTTATTGCAAGTTGTCGCAAGATGATGTATCAGCAAGACGAGGGATCAAGTGTTACAACATCGGTGGCTGGTAACAATGAATGGATTCGACGCTGAGTAAAAAACCTTTCCTCTCTTTCATCCTCGTTCAAACGTCCAACAAAGCGAACGAGCCGAGAAGAAGACGGCATTCTCGAGCACTCTCGGGAACTCTAACGTTCTGTGTCGCGTCGCACGATTGCGCAACGTGCAATCAGCGGGACCAGCTGGTCTCGCCTCTCCTCCATTCATTTGAACCGGCTACGAGGCCGGCACGTCAAACTGGAAACGGTTTCGCGGTCGCGGCTCTGATAGACAGGTGTAATAAACCGGCGTCGAAGACAGACAGTCAGACGAGCGAAACCGAGCCAGGCAGGCACTTGGAAAGTGAAAAGCTCCTGTTGGCCGCGTCTCTTTAGACCTCCTCTCCCTGATCTGGCCGCGAGATTCGAACGTGGCGAGGTCGAACAACCGGACGCCTTGGCGAAAGAGGAAGAAGAAAGGAAGGTGAAACAGGAAGCGCCGGGTCGCATTTTTGCCGTGCGGCAAGTCAGGTTGCGACGAGATCGGCGGAGGAATCAGGAAGGCCATCGGACGAGCGAAGGAAAGAAAGAGAGAGAGCTAGAAGGATTCAGAAGCCAGAATAGCAGGTTCGATGGCTTTTGGTCGATTCAGTTATCACGTGCGCGTCGGAACCAGGGAATCCGTGGACGTTGGCCATCAAAACCAGTCGGACACCACGGATTCCATCGTCCTCGTGTCGCGCCGTCGTATCCACCAGGTGGATGCACGGTAAGTGAAACCAGTTGGCTTCCCTCTTCATCGCCTCCTACTACGAGCGTGGCCAGAAGGAGGACAGGCCGCGTGAAACTGGAATTGGACCCGCTGGCCGGTGTAACGATAGACGTGCAAACGAGGAAGCAAGAAGCACCGAGGTAGCGATAGGAGAACCGAGCGACGCGCGGTCTCTGCATTTTGAAGCTCGACCTTGTTCGGCAGGAGAGTTTCCTCCCGATTTCGTGGAAGTGTGCGAGACACGCGGGTGCTCCTGGCTGAAACGATGATCACCGGGGCGGACTCGGGGAAGGAAGAACTCGCGGTGGCGAGTAAGAGAAACGCGGCTGGACGGATGAACCGGCCTACGTGCGCTAGAGAGAGACTCGTGGAGGAACAGGGTGGCGGGAAGTAGGTAGGTTGGTTGCCTACCCACTACGCGGAAGAAGGAGATTGGGGCGACTGGGGAGAAGGAGTAGGTACACGAAGCCGGTATACAACCGCGGACCGGAGACGAGAAGCCAGAGGAGCAGGTTCGGCCGGTCTAACCTGATTCTCAAAGGGAACCCTGCATCAGATTGGACCCACCTCCGTGGGTCCGTTTGTATTTCAAGTACCTGTACTCCCTCGCTCCGCGTCAGTGGACGATGCCTTCGGAGACGGAGGACTCCGGAGACGAGTCTTTGCCAAGAGGAACGAGCCTCTCCTCCTACAGCTACATACAGCTACGTCTGTCTCGTGGAAAAATGTCTGTCTGGTGTGATTCGGAACCTAGCCGAAGTCAGGTGTCTGTCGTTGTGCCATTTTGGATCTACCAATCGACGAATCGACAGAGTCGTTCGTGGCCGAGTGAGGTCATTCTACGAGTGGTCGGAGACGCAGTGAACGCAGAAATTCGAGAAAGAGAGAGAAAGAGAGAGAGAGAGAGAGAGAGAGAGAGAGAGGTCTGTCTTTCGAATTTCTCGACTCGGATCTGGCTGGAAAGTGGATCCAGCCAAGGGACAAGGATGTTCGATCGTTGGAGGGAACCCTCGAGAGAACGAGATGTTTGCTCGCCTCGCTGAGCGTACCTGGCCTACACCAGCCAAGTCAACGACGCGCTCTCCTCCTTTTTACTACCTGCGATCGTTTCAACTTTATGGAGGTGCTGTCCTCCTCCGTGCAGTGTTCCGGGAGTGAGAATTAGTGGCGTGTTCTCTGGCCGTGGGAAGGATCGGGGATTCATTCTCGCGATTAACAGGCGCGTCGTTGTTGTCTCTTTCGCCGGGCAAGAAAGAAGAATCGAAGGAGGAGAGACGAAGGAAAGAAAGGTGGACCGTTCGAGAACGTTCTTCGGAATCTTCGCGCTCGACACGACACGACGAACCAACCAATGGTTCACGTCGTTCACGCGAAACGTAAAGCCGCGTGGAAATGCGCGTTGCACGCGCGCGATTCCATCAGGCGGCCACCATTAAACTCGGGGCCAATTATACTCGCGAGTCTTCCATTCACTCGCTGCCGAGAGCACGCTCGTACGTACGTACGTTCGAACGCGCGCAATCGCCATTCTGAACGGCACACCGTATTTTTACCGTAGTAGCGCGCCGTTTTACGTAACCATTCGAAACTCTATCCTACGTAACGTACCTTTGGTATCTTACACCTCGAGCTGCGATCGAGAATCGATCTCGCGGGGGAAAAATATACGGAGGTTCGCAATCGTACGGAGACGCGAAAGAGAAAGACCGAGAGGAATTGAAACGGATCGATGGAAGAGAGAAAAAGAGAACCGGATGATTCCACTTGTCTTCGACGCGCGAGTTGTTTACCGGCGGCCCACCTGCGCGTCACCTGTGCGTCACCACGCAGGTAGCCGGTGAACATCCGTGGCGAAGAGGTCCGCTGCGTGGATCGACTTCGCGACGTCCAGAGAGAGAAATAGAGAGAGAGAGAGAGAGAGAGAGATATTCTAGTGACTAGATGATAATACTCACGTTGTCGGGGTTCGCGTGCAAAGAGAAACGTGTCCGAAGGGTGCGTCTGCAATCGTGGATCTCGCTGGATCGCAAGGGAGGAAGTGTTTCGGTGTGCATTCGAGGGTACAGGCCGATATCTTTCGAAGATGGATCGATGGCGGACCGATCGATCCGATGGTGATTAGAATCCGATCCGGTGGCTGAAAACCAGGTGGTTGGACGGTCGAGTGCGCGCGCGCCCGTAGACTTGTGTACGTACGTGGAGAGCAGTAGAAGAAGGTGGTAGAGAATGTGACGGTAGGTGGTAGGTCGAGGGGGTGCTGGTGGGGTGGCCGAGGGGGGAGGACCAACTACAAACTACTAAGCGTCCCTCCTGTGTTCCGGATCACATCTCCACGGATGACAGTGTCACCATCTTCCCGATGGATCGATCCGTTTCCATCCGCGAGTTTTCCACGAGCTTTCCTCGCGGAAAAGTTCTCTCCCCACCCTCTTCTCCACTGTCGCAGGTCAATCCTTCGTCAGTTTTCTCAGTTCCTCTCCCACGGACACGTACGCACGGTTTTTCGGTGGTTTTTACAACGGTTCGGTTCTTCTCTTCGCTGTCTCCGTCCTCTCGCGAAATGGTTGACTCGCCGATCGAGACTCGAAACTGGACACACTAGGCGAGACAGACACACTTGGCGTGACGCGGAGTGGCGCGGGGGGAAAAGAAGAAAGGAGACAATAGGAGACACCGTGAAACTCACAAAATTCACTCCGCGCACCTCATTATCCTCTGTTTCTGGTCCATTCCGCGACGCGTTCCGCCTCAGCCAGTCGCCAAGCGCTGGTATCGTTCCTTTCGCGCCTTCCACACCCCTCTTCGACGAGCCACGAGGATCCGGACCGTATACGGTTTTTCCAAACCGGATCGTCTGTTCACGATTCACACTTGTACACCGGCTTCAGGCACACGCGCACGCTCGCGCAGACCGCCGCTCTACCGACAACAACAGCAACGACGTCAACGCCGACGACCACGACGACAACGTCAACGACAACGACAACGACAACGACAACGACAGCGACAACAACGACGACGACGACGACGACGACGACGACGATGAACGCGACGGTGGCTTGTACAGACAGCAGGACGACATCGTCGCCGTGGAATCGCGAACGCGAGCGTACGATACCTCCGCGCGCGACAGATCGACCGACGTCGTGTGTGTCGAAGCCTCGCGACGTGAACTCGACGCTTCTCGTTTTCTTTTTTTTTTTTCGTTTTTCTTTCGCTCTGGGAAAACGGTGGAACCCTCTGCGTGGCGAGGAGGCGAACTCGTCGAGGGTGGAAACGGATGCACTACACCCCGAACTGTGCGGCCCAACAGGTAGAATTAAACCACCCAAAGTTTAGGCAGCCGCTGCAAGCAACAAACGAAGCAGCCTCACGGTGCTCTCTCGGATCGTTCTCTCTTCTCTCGGGATACGGCAACATGGCCGCCGTCGCCGCCGCCTCCCAGCATCCCGCTCTTGGCTCCGTGTCTCCTGCCCCCTCCGCCCCCCACCTCGCCTCTCGTTCAATGCCTCTGTCTCTCTCTTTCTCTCTTCTCTTCTGTAGCACACACGTTCGACTCCACGAACTGCCTCTCTTCTCGCTCTCTCTCTTTCTCTTTCTCTTTCTCTCGTTCCCCTGTTTCTCTTCCCCTTCCAACTGCTTCCATCTCTCTCCCTCTCAGCCTCGTACCACCTTCGTGCCCGTTTCCCTGACACGCGTTCGTTCTCTCTCCGTTTCTCCAGAACGTGGAGCCTGGTGTCAGCCTCCCTCGCTCCCGAATACGCGTCTCGCTCCACCCGTCTCTTCCACCTTCGCTTCTTTCTTCGTTCTCTTACCTGCGGCCACCCTACAACGCCTCCCCGTTCTCTTTCTCTTTTGATCAACTGTTCTCCTTCGACGCACGGCGAATCTCATTCTCTCTCTCTCTCTTTTTCTTCGACACCGCTCACCTCTCTCGTCGCCTACCTGCAGCAGCAGCAGCAGCAGCAGCGGCAGCCTTCTCTCCGCTGTACTCCCACTCCTTGCTTGGAAGAGAATCCAAGCAATAGGTACATACTTACACCGTGGCAGCTTGCTGAGGAGAGGCGGCGAGACGAAAGCCTACGGCTGGGTATTTCTTCTTCTACGCGTTCACCGATCTCTGTTGCTCGGCCAGCGTTCGGCTAAGGTAAGAGCGCTCAGGTGAGACGAGCAGCATCGGTAGAGTGTCTGGAAGAGAGAGAAGGACGCGACGCTAGCGAAAGGGTAGAGGGAGGATGAGAAGGAGGAGGGATCGGGAGAGACAGGATAGCCGGCGCACAGGTAGCCAACGCTGAACGAGGAGAGTACGAAGATGGTGGTACTTTGGCGCGACGGAGATCGGAGGAGCTTCGGTCTCCCAACGGCAACCGAAGCACGGATACAAACAGAGCATCGAGTCATCGGCGAGGCGGCCGGGGCTCTTGGCCACCCGGCATTATCGTGTCTCCGAGACTCGTCTCTGTCTCTCCTGTCTGTCGATCCGTCGTTCGTTCCTCCTCTGGCCTGCTACCTTGACAAGGATACTCGGGCCCACCTCGTCTCTCTGGAGGAGAGACGAGGACGTTGCTACCACACGCACGCGCGCACACATCCATATATACGGACGTTATCGTCCGCGCTCGCGAACGGAGCCACGTAAGGCTTTCTCCTTGTCCGTCTCGTTACCTTCAGAAGGATACCAACTCCTCGCCGGGAGTTGGCCGTCGCCGAGCCAAAGGTGAGGAGACGAAGAAGGAGGACGCTGCGTACGTAGATTATCGTAATTCTCCTGGCCCCTCGTCGTCGCCGCCGAGACCCTGGTCTCTCTATCTCTCTATCTTTCTCTCTCTCTCTCTCTCTCTCTCTCTCTCTCTCTCTCTCGTTCGATCCTCGAAGCGTTTCACCGGTATTCTCTCCCACCTTGAAGAGAACGATGTCCAAGATATCCGCGATACACCTATCCCGTGGACGTTCTATGAAGACTTAAGGTCGAACGAGGCCAAGGTTCGAAAACGGGAGACAAACAGAGACACGCGATTTATCCATTATCACCGTGTGTATTCCGGCTTCCGATTAGGACATTTCGTCGTCGCGTTCGCTCGAAGCTCGACTTTCTCTCCTCTGTCCTTTGTTCTCCACGATCTCTCGAAGGAGAGATCACCTCTTGGCGGCGTGGAGGCATGGCGGCGACGGTGGAACGATACCGGGCGTCCCTTCCCCTCGCTCCCTCTTCTTTATCGTGCTTTTTATCGGCGACAGAAGAAGAAGAAAAAGAGGAGGAGATTCCTCGTGGACGTTCTATGAGGCTCGTTCGACGGCTGGCAAAAAACGACACCCTTGCCGGTGAGGAAGAGGACGCGGACGAGGTGGACGAGGACGGAGACGAAGAGAGGAGCAACAAGAAACGCGCGCACGGTGAGGAAGAGGAAGGCAGGATGGGACTGGTCGGTGGGAAGAAGAGGAAGGAAGAGAGAAAATGGAAAAAGGGTACGAGAGGAGACTCGTGCACAGACACACACGTGCGTGGCTATTGATTCTCAGTTTGCGAGTGCTCTTCTCTTCTAAAAAGAGATAGAGGGAGAGAAAGAGAGACTCTGTGTGTGTGTGTGTACGGCGAAGAAGAAACGATGCTGCCGTAGCTGGCTTCTGCTGGTGCCGGCGGCAGCGAGCCGAGATGGACTCTGGATCGAAAGAGCGAGAAGTTGGGGATGCCGTGCGAGGGGGAGGCCGGCCAGTTGGCCAGTCAGCCTGTTGAAGAGAGGCAGAGAGCAGCGGCGGCGGTGGAGGAGGAGGAAGAAAAGAGCCGAGAGAAGAGAAGAGAGTGCCTCGGCGAGCCCTCTCCGATAGAGGAAACAGAGAGGCAGAGGAGAAAATGAGCGACCAGGACGAAGAAATCTTCTCTCTCTTTTTCTCTCTTTATTCTCCGTCTGATCTCTCCTCCCTGTTTGGTCCTCTCGGGCCGCGCGCACCGAGGGAGAGATTAAAAGGAGAAAAAGGAGGAGATGGAATTAAAAGGAGGAAAAAAAAGAGGTGGAGGAAGGAGAGAGAAGGACGAAGCGAGAGGGAGACTGGTGAAAAATGGACAGCCAGCGAGAGAAGACAGCCTCGGGCTACGTCGCGCGCTGCGACCCTGCTCAGGGAGGGATCTTACTGTTGGTTCGTTCGTTCGTTCGTTCGTTCGTTCGTTTAAAAGATATATAAAGTTACACGCACGCACGCACGCACGCGCGAGCAAGCAAGCAAGCAAGCAGGAAAGGAGAGGAAATTATTCGATGCAACGACATCGCGTCGCGGCGACGTCGAATGTTCCCCGGCGATGTTTAGCAGCGAGTAATTAGGGGACCGGCGTGCTCGTGACAGTGGCCGGCCGCGAACGACCGAGCGAAACGCGAGGCCGGATCATTTGAATATGCGCACGCCTTCCCGTGAGAATCGGTCGCCGGTCGTTACGCGTGCACGTTACCGCGTGGGTGGCTGCACGCAACCGCGTGGGCGGATCGACTTGGCTAAGAAGGAGGAACGACGACATTTTCGTTTCGAGAGAGGGGACTGTCTGCCTGGTTGACAGCGTTCTCCTCTCCGACGATACGACCTCGAGTTTTTCTTCGTCCTCGCGGTGACACCGGCCGGGAGAGCCGATGAATCGAGCTACGAGGATACAGCGCGCGACAGAGAGTCGATTTGTACGGTGATCGTACCGAATCATTTTTGATTCGATCGTGTTTTCTTCTTTCCTTTGGAAAATTAAAAGGCTCCTTATTATTATTGAGACACACGCTGTTTCTTCGTGGATAGTTTGTACATTTCGTTAGACTCTTTTCGGGGAAATGTAATTTGCTGGCTGTTGGGTTTCACGCGGTTGGGTTTCAGGGACACCCAAGGAGATATATTGGAAAATTACAGAGTGGTAATTTAGGAATGTTAAAGTTCGGCTTCACCTCCAAGGTGACGACAATCTAGGTCACAGGGTTCCCCTTGGTGCGAGTTGAAAAAGGAGCCAAGGTGACCTGAAAACGTCGTCCAACTTAATGAGTTTACTTAAACGTGCCTCGTATGTCATAACGAACGCGCGTTTCTCACCACGTTGCAGTCGATTTGGCAGCGTGGGATTTGACTGCGTTGCGCAAAACCCGGTTAAATTCTTTCAGGGGGAATTTTAGCTAAGAACTGTGGATCTTGTTCTTGAACGTTTAGCGAGGTAAACTAAAGAAATTTAGCGTGGATGCTGCCTGGGAATATATGGCCAGACAATTCTGTCGTAGGTCTTGTCGCTCGTATCCTTCCGAATGACCGGCGACAAGTTATCCTTCGTGACGCCACGGTCATTTGTCATAGGCCACGAAAATCCCTCTCTCCTGTCGTCTTGTTCGTTTTATCGTGCACCAGCCTCGTGGATTTCTCGGAATCCGTTGAAAAATAATCGCATCTCCCTCCCTCTCTGAGAATCTGAAGTTAACCCTCCTCGGGCTTATTTGACGCTCCAAATGGGCAACGAGACGAGAAATTTCCAATCTTGACTGTTTTAATCTCGACAGCTTCGAAAGAAATCAAACACAGTGCTTGAAGGAAGAAAAAGGAATGTGAAAGAATTTTGACACTTTTAATTTTGTCAGATTCAAATAAATTTGAAACAACGTCTGACGCACTGTATTCCAGTCAACGAACGAAACAAGAAAAAAAAGAGTGTCAAAGAATTTGTTTGTGTGTTTTTGTACGTTTGTATTTTTAATATAAAAATAATATTTTTTTATAAATTTCTACGCAATTTGATTAAATCCTACAATCTCGACACAGAGCAATATTTTGATCCGACGTCGGAACGCTAGTTTCCCTTCCCTTTTTTTGTCGGCCGATTATAGAAAGCCGATTTTTAGACTCTCTGATCTGAACGTGATCGGCACGATGCCCCGACGGGTTCTCTCTCTCTGTTTACTCTCGAAACGCGGGCAACAGCGACCAGTGACCGGTCTTTCGTCGAACAGGTAGCTTATGATGTATTGTGGCCGTGCACGTGAATAGATGCAGCATCGACGTCTCTCTGAATGAAACGCGTGAACCGGTCGCCGGCCATTATACGCGAGAACACGAGCGCGCCGCGCCGTGCCGGCGCGTTTAATCGGGTTGAGGTGACTTCGACGCCTGCACAAGCCAGACGCGCCGAATCTCTGCGGAGACTTCGATGCTCGCATCGACTGACCACGCGTTCAAGTCTCCAGTTCACGCGTTGCTTTTTACTCCTACGTTTCTCCAGTGGCTCCCTTCTCTATTTTTACTTATCCTCTGGGAACACTTCAACACAATTCTTGGAATATTCTTCTCCTATTTTTTCTAAAAACGTCCAAACGTATTACAAAATACTTTCTCGTATCATTGAGATGATAATTCGCGAGAGTTTCTTTTTGTTACAAAATAAGAATTCTTCTGTTTCTTTTTTCTTTTTCTTTTCATTATTTGTAGTCGCACTTGTGTAGGTTATTAGAGGCTTG